CGAGGAATGCTACCAGACTCCTACAGTACACAGTACAGCCTCTCACAGCAAAGAATTATCCAGCCCAAAATAGAGCTAACGTAGAGAAACTTTGGTCTAAAAATTAAAGGTGAAGGAATTATAGTGTTAGAATGGAATATGGTGAAATACTGTAATAAGAATGAGGTCTGATAGATAATTTTTTTAAGTGTTTAGGATTATCTCTCTGGCAAACTGAGCTTATAATTATAAACATAGGCAAAGAAAGAGAGGTTCCAGAAAACAACTTTCACACATAAATGTCTTCTGTCAAGAAATAATGTCTGAGTCAGACACTGAGGCCTTAAAATTAGAGGTATCCATTTGTTCCTGGCTGTAGATGTGGACCACCTCAGCTGACCACCATATGACTGCCTGTGAGGAAAGGAGTATCTTAAGACTGCTCCCCAAGAGGGGTTCAGTATTGCATAACAGGGAGTGTGGGCCACAGGAACTCAGAGTTTCACCCTGGTATCTTGACCCTACAGCATTGGTCAACATTGTCCAACAATGGCTCCCACTGGAAGTTAAACAGCAATAGCCTGAAGCTGAAAACTCCCTTTATAAGCTCTGTATTTCTGCTCGTAAATAGGACGATGGTACTTTAAGACTCTAGTCTGCCATTCTCTTCATTTGCCAGCAAATTAATAAACTTCTCTCTGTTCTCCTCAAGCCATTTGTCCTTGTTCTTCTGATACAGACTTGGGAACAAGTGCCAAAATTTCAGTAACATTTAGGAGGCAGAAATGACAGGCTTTGCTGACTATGAGTTATTAGGCTATTATTTCCCAACGTCAAACACACTTTTGTATATTTGGTTCTGTGATGCCCACACTAGTACTCTGTAAGCTACATTTTTTTTTTCCTATTGATCTGTGGGGACACAAATGACTCCATCTTGGATGCTAATCTGCCATGTCGACTCCTGATTAACCTCAGTCCCATAATGTCTCCCAATTCCTACTTTATTTACTGTCCTTGGTATAAGACCATGTTCTCACTATAAATCCTGCCTTTAGATCATAGCAACCTGGATGTTATCACAGAAATTATAGGCTGTGATGCACATAGCATTCTCACCTGTTCTGGAAGGTTGTCTTTAATTGTCTCTATAGAGCACATATGCCCTTTCCCTTTGGTATATAAGCCCTTGGTCTGGGAGTAATGGTGTGAAGATTTACCTGTCCTGCTGCTGCCAAGACCATGCTTCTGTCTGTAAGTCCCCCAATAAATCAACTTTTACTGACAAACTGGATTTGTCTGCCTCATTCTTCGGTTTCTTGCTCCTTCCATGTTTGTGGATCACTTTGCATATATGGCCCTTTCATGAAACATGATCTCTTCTAACACCCAGAAGGAAGGAATACGTGCTCAGAGAAGCCAAGAAGGATCTATACAGACAGGTCTTGCTGGGTGTCCCCACTCAAGCTGTTAGCATTAGATCATACCCTTTTTGTCCAATCATATTTCTATGTGGCTATCCATACTTTGTTGAACCTAAGCATAAAAATGGACAATTTCCCCTATATCTCTGAGTTTTCATTCTGAAGTCTCCTGTGTGTATATATTAAAATAAATTTGTATCTTTTTCCTTCTATTAATCAATCTGCCTCATGTCAGTAATTTTTTAGTGAAACTTTAGGGGGCCAGGGGACTTTTCTCCCTACAATACACATGTGTGTGGCTTGGGAAATTTGGTAGATTTTAATATCTTTCACAGAAATGCAAAATGTTGGAAGAGCAAGATTAGGGAAGGACTGGGGAGAGGTGATCAGCTCAGGTTTGCAGAAATTTTGTTTCAGGGATATATTTGTAGCACGTGAAGTGGAGATTCCAATAGAAATCTTCTTATATGGTTCTAGAGTTTTAGAGTAAGAGTCGCACTAGAGATTAAGATTTTGAGGGTTATTATCACGTAAATTAATAATTCTCAGTATAAGAAATGGAAGAGTTTAGATATCCTACTAAAGATTTTTTTTTCCTCGACAACCTATGTAAAGTCCTTGATTGTACAGAGTTATTTCTTTTTTAAATAACACAAAGACTTTTTCTTTTTATTTTAACTGTTTAATGT